AGCGACAGGTTTGCAACCGTACATCTTGAATTTCTTAAGTAAGCCTTCTGTGTATTTCTTTTGTGAGATGAATATCCCTTCATTTCTTTGGCTTACCTCTATACCGAGGAAGTAACTCATCAAACCAAGGTCGGTCATCTCAAAGGTCTTCATCATGTCTTCTTTGAACTCCTTTATCATCTTAGTATTGTTTCCCATGTAGATAAGGTCATCTACATATAGAGAGAGTAAGAGAGTGTACTGACCTTGAGACTTGATGTATACTGTGGGCTCACTCTTGCTTCTCCTAAATCCTTGATCCATGAAATATTGATCGATTTTGCTATACCATGCTCGAGGAGCTTGCTTCAAACCGTATAGTGCTTTTCTTTGTCTTAACACTTTGCTCTCTTCGCCTTCAGATATGAATCCTTGTGGCTGCTCCACATAGATCTCTTCTTCAAGTACACCATTGAGGAAGGCAGATTTGACATCCAGTTGATGTATACTCCATCCTTTTTGTGCCGCAAGAGCTATTAGAGCTCTAATGGTATCAAGACGAGCTACTGGTGCAAATGTCTCATTGTAGTCAATCCCAGGTTGTTGTGAGTAACCCTTAGCTACTAGTCTCGCCTTATGTTTCTGTATGGTGCCATCAGGATTGAGCTTTGTCTTATAGACCCACTTAACCCCAATGATATCTTTTCCATGGGGACGATTTACTAACTCCCATGTGTTATTTTTCTCGATCATCTTTATCTCTTCTTCCATTGCCTTGACCCATACTTCATGCTTTGATGCTTCTTCAAAGCTTCCAGGTTCGAGTATGGCCATGTTGCAGGTTTCATATATGTCTCTCAAAGATCTTACTCGTCTTGGAGTAGACTCTGGTGATGATAGTTCTTGAGCTTGTTGTTGTGGTGGAGGTGAAGAAGGTTCACCTAGGACTTCTTCCTCAGCTTCTTCTTGAGGTAGTTGAGTGGGTATAAGAACATTCTTCTCCACTTTTTCTTCATCCCAATTCCAAGAAGCATTCTCATCAACTTCAACATCTCGACTGATGATGAGTTTTTTTGTTTGCAAGTTATATACACGATAGCCTTTAGATATTGTATTATACCCCAAGAAGATACCTCGTATAGTCTTGTCTTCAAGCTTGTGCCTCTTCACGTCTGGAATATGAATGTAGCATATAGATCCAAAGATCCTTAGGTGCTTTGCTGATGGCTTCTTCCCGTTCCAAGCCTCAATTGGAGTCTTATCTTGTACAGATTTAGTTGGACATCTGTTGAGTAAGTAAACAGCAGTGTAGACTGCTTCAGCCCAGAATGTGTTAGTTAGTTGCTTCTCTTTGAGCATCGATCTAGCCATCTCCATAACTGTGCGATTCTTTCTCTCAGACACACCATTTTGCTGAGGAGAATATGTGACTGTAAGTTGTCGCTCTATGCCCTCATCCTCACAAAATCTATCAAACTCGCGGGATGTGTACTCTTTGCCGCAATCACTTCTTAGTACTTTTATCCGCTTTCCACTTTGATTTTCAACAAGGGCCTTGAACCTTTTGAATACTCCAAAAACTTCTGATTTTTCTTTCAAGAAATAGACCCATGTCATTCTAGAGAAGTCATCAATGAAGAGTATGAAGTACCTGTTATTCTCGTGTGATGGCGTCCTCATCGGCCCACAGACGTCAGTATGTATTAGCTCCAACAGATCTTTTGCTCTCCATGCTCCGCTTGTTGAGAATGGAAATCGGTGTTGCTTACCAAGGAGACATCCTTCACACACTTCATTGTTATCCTTTATGCTTGGAAGATCTCTCATCATGTTCTTATCATGTAACAACTTCAAGGCATGTGTGTTGAAGTGGCCAAATCTTCGATGCCAAAGCCATGAATCATCAACTTGTACCTTCATGGCAATGTTAGTTGTATATTTTAAATTTAGCGAGAAGCTTCTATTGCTCTTATTCATCTTCACTTCGGCTATCTCGGCCCTTTTATTCTTGTTGTCTAAGATTTTGCATACACCTCCTTCAAAGTGAAGTGTGTAGCCTCTCTCCATCATTTGCCCAATGCTTAGAAGATTTTCTTTTAGGCTGGGAACTAGTAAGACATCATGGATGAGTCGCGTACCTTTATCTGTCTCTACCACGACGGTGCCTTTTCCTTTTGACTCAACCACACTTCCATTTCCTAGTCGAACTTTGACTTTGACTGACTCATCAATGCTTTTGAAAATAGTCTCATCCTTGGCCATGTGATTGCTACATCCACTATCCAAGTACCAACTTCCTCCTTTTTCTTTGATTGATTCTTGAGTGGCATAGAACATACATTGTTCTTGATCATGCTCCTCTGCGATATTAGCTTGATGCCTATTTTTGTTGCGACAGTGTTTCTCTATGTGCCCGAATTTCTTGCAATGATTGCATTGTGGCATATTACGGTACCAACAACTTTTCTCCGCGTGGCCTAGTCGTTTGCATATATTGCATGGAATATTTTTATCTGGATTGTTCTTTTGAAAATTTCTAGGAACTTCTCTTCTTTTGGAAGTTTCACCATAATTTTTCTTTCCTCCATTTTCTTTATTTTGGGACTTAAATTTGAGCTTTGACTGAAAGGCATTTTCAAGTGTATCTTCTTTATGTCTATGTAGTCTTTGCTCATATGCTTCAAGAGAGCCCACTAGTTCTGTCACTGATAGAGTAGACAGATCTTTGGTTTCCTCTATTGTTGTCACGATTGGGTCAAATTTTGGGGGCATAGTAATTAGAATTTTCTCAACAATTTTCTTGTCAGGAATATCCTCCCCAAAAGCTCTCATTTGATTAACTATTTCTTTAACTTTAGAATAGTAATCTTTAACTGTCTCAGACTCCTTCATCTTCAATAGTTCAAAATCTCTTCTTAGAGATTGAAGTTTGACAGCACGTACCTTGTCATTTCCTTGAAACTCCTCCTGCAACGTCTTCCACGCTTCTTTTGCAGTCTTAGCTCCCATAATTCTTGAAAAAATTGCATCAGTCACCGCTTGTTGCAAGGTGAACAATGCCTTTGAATTTTTCTGTTTATTTTTCTTCAACTCTTTTTCTTGAGCTGCATTTAGAGCTGAAGTATCTATGGGAGCGATGAAGCCTTCTTCTACTATGTCCCATAAATCTTGAGATGAAAAATATGTCTCCATTTTAACACGCCAGAAATCATAATTTTCACCATTGAAAATAGGGACACAAATAGTTGATGATTGAGTAGTGTTATCCATGGCTTAGAAAAAATATTGTAGTGGGTTAATAGTATAAGGGAAATATTTTGAAGTAGTTTGGAGGATTTTGAAATGGTAGGTATTAGTATAACTACGCCCAATATATGACCGAACGTAGCTCTGATGCCACTGTTAAAAATTGTTTAGATGATAGTTGGTAGAAGATAGTTTTAGAGAGTAGTTTAGAAAGAAGGTTTTTTGATTAATTTCTTGGATGATTGTTTACAATGTAGCAAATGCCTATTTATAGGCTCAAGTCACCAACCTTTCAATAGTGGTGAATATTCTAGAGTTCTCATGATAGGTTACTATCATGATAAATCTAGATTTTTCTATCTTTGCCATATACTTATATATCTAGATTATTCTACCATATTCATACACCTTATAGTTTCTAGGATGTTCTATATTTTGTTACATATTATATTTAAGAACTCTCTAGAAATTTGTAGCAAATTTAACAGTATTAGAGTTATAAACCAAATTCCTCAATTAGTAACCAAAGAAAACGTTGAGGAATTTCAATTACTTGTATCCGATTCTTCATTCCAGAAATTTCACAATGACTCCTCTTCTCCATGGCCGATGGATCCTTCTCTCTTCATGCTTTGAGAAGATGAATTTTGGACATGTGTATCTGCCTTCCACATGTTCCAGACCAAGGATTGTCATCTCCATGTCATCTTCCTCTCCTTCTAGCATGTCATCCTCTTCTCCTTGTTCCTCACTTCCTCCTGTCATCATTTTATTGTAGCTTTTGATCACCCCAGATGTTTTCCATGGTGTACTATATTCAGCCCTTTTGTTTCCTTCAACGACTCATCATTTTTGTCTTTTACCTTCTTAGTGTTCCGCGTCTTTGGATCAGTTGTTTTCATTGGTGTTCCACTCTTCAGTTGATTTTCAGACGTAAACCCTAGCAGATGGTTCATGTTTGTTATGACTTGATATGTATCGGATTATCATGTAAGTTTACTTTGCCACTTTCTTGCTCGATTCTTCTTAGTTTTCGAATATTTTAGTTTCTCTAATTATGACTGATTTTATTGTTTAAACTGGATCCTTATTTATTGCTTATTTATTCTTGACACGGGAAATAATATTAAATATTTAGGATTTTTTTAATGGTAGATCACGATTACACTGCGTTGAAAAAATTCCTGAAGTAGTCAACTACATTAAAAGATGATTAATATATGGTCATTTAGTGTAATGAATGTGATCTTAATTCGCACAAACCTAAGTTTTATTTAAATAATTTAAACTCTAAACTAATATTTTTAAAAACATATATAAGTAAACTAAATTTGGGTATGGTTCTCAGACTCAAGAAAACAAAACGTATAAAATCAATAAAATGTTAAATAAAATGTTGACTTACTTATGCGATCCAGTATCAATTTAATAATAAAATACTTAAAGATTCAATTTTTAATCTTGTCAAATTTATTCACTTTAAATAGAAGTTTATGATAGAGATTAGGTAATGACTTTAAATGGGGAGATAAAAAAGATAAAAAAGATTTTGAAAATTTGTATAAAAAAAGAATATTCAGAATTTGGATATAACTATTTTTTGTTCTTGAGAGAACTTTTCAATAGCACTAGTATACATGTATTAAGAAGATATTATCATCACTTCATATATATTCATAGTAAAAAGAGAAAGAATTCTTGATCAATAAAAGATATAAACCATTAAGAATCTTAATCTATGATAATAACCTATTGAATATATTTTTGTTTTTAATCTACTTGCTATCCATCTTCATGTTTGTAGAGTCGTTGAGAGTTATAGTAGCCAGAGTAGCACATACATTAAACTCATCCGAAACTTGACTTTCAATTTCTTCTGATTTAGGGCACTCCTTATCTTCATGTTTGTAGGATTTTGGAGAGTTTTGTTTGTGGCCTTCCAAAGTATGAGTTTCATGAAATTCTTCTGATTTAGGATACTTTTCATTTTCATGTTTAAAGAATCTTTGAAAATCTTCTTTGTGACTTTCCATGAAACATTTTCCACACATGTTCTTGATGCCAGCACGGTCGTAAGAGCCGCATATGTTGTTTGAACAAATTAGTGAAACCATGTTGTTTCAAGTAGATTGGCTAAGAAAGAATGAATGAAAAAAGAAGTCAGAAAGGTAGAGAACAAAACAAGTTTAGGAATAGGAGAGAAATTGTTTGACAAATGAATGAGGTAGGTTTAATTTATAATGAAAAATAGCAATCATAATCTGTTACGAAAAACTCTCCAAAATCATAACCATAGAGATAGGAATTAGTTACTATGTATATCATCATCATCATCATCATAAATAAAAACCAACATATAAAAAGGAATAATAAAAATAAATTAGCCCATATATAGGAATTAATTAGGAAATTGTCTAAAAGAATGGAATTAATTAATTAGAATACATATGTGTCTATCCAAAAAAAAAGTAAAACACGATATATGATAATTATTTTATCCGGACCAACGTTTATATCCTTAGTAGAAATAAATTAGCCCATATTTGTTTTTCAATTTTTCAATTTTACTAGGGATATAAATATGTAGGGTTTGAGCATGGTACCATAGAGATAGGAATTAGTTACTATATATATATATATATATATATATATATATATATATATATATATATATATATATATATATATATATATATATATATATATATATATATATATATATATATATATATATATATATATATATATATATATATATATATATATATATATATATATATATATATATATATATATATATATATATATATATATATATATATATATATATATATATTTATATATATATATATATATATATATATATATATATATATATATATATATATGAAATTGTTATAGTGTTATATAAAATAAATAAAAACCAAATATAAAATATTTGATAAGAAATTAATACTTACCGATCATAAATACGGTAGTTTGTTAAAAAAAAAACACCAGTGAGATTTTCGAAAATTTTGAAATCATTCCACTGGATTTGTGAAATGAAAAGGTTGAGAGAAAAAGTTCTCTGCGAAACAGAAAGATGTGAAATAAAATGGTTTGACACAGTGAGATCCTCTGTCTCTTTTTCTGTTTGTGATAGTAGCATAAGGGCTTTCTCAATTGTTTAAGAATGTTGAGCTTTAGGAGAATTTAAATGTTACAATGTTAAAGGTAGTCTTTCTGTTGATTTGATCCAAGTTGTTGACAATACGTTGATTGTAGGGGCGGGTAACTGGAACAACTTTGGTGTATCAAAGCGATCTTAAGGGGGTTCGAGTTAGTGTCGGGGTTGGGAGTAAATTTTCATAAAAGTAGATTGGTCGAGATCAATAAGAGTTAACATTTCTTACAGGGATGCATCCAATTTTTTGGCTTGCAAATTATAGGCTTCGGCTTTTTACTTTCTCGGTTTACCTATTGGTTCTAACCCGAGACATATTAAAATATGGTATTCTATTGTTGAGAAAGTTAAATTGAAGTTAGAGTCATGGAGACCAAAAATTTTATCTTTTGGAGGAAGGATAACACTAATCAATTTTATTTTAAGCAGCTTTCCCGTTTTTGTGTTTTCGTTCTACAGACTTCCGATGCAGATCAGAAAAGTAATGGACCAATTACGGCAGAGATTTCTTTGGGGAGGATCGGAAGAATCTTCAAAGATCCATTGAGTAAAATGGGAGGTGGTTTGCAAAGATTAAGATTGTGGAGGGCTGAGCATTACTAGTTTGAATGAATTTAATTTAGCTTTATTTTCTAAGTGGAAATGGATAATTCTTTTGGAAAAGGAAGTTGTTTGGAAGAAATTACTAGAAAGAGAAATACGTGGATTGTGAGGATTTAATTCTTTTGAATGATCGGTGCAAGACTGTTGTTCCAGCTTCAACATGGTGGAAGGATCTGACTAAAATCGGCGCAGTCACGACTAACTCAAGTTTTGATTTTGCAGGTAAAATTTTCTATGAAATTGGAGATGGTAAACAAATCTTTTTTTGGTTGCGAAAATGGTGCGGAAACTTTACTCTTGCTGATACTTTCCCGGAGTTGTACTCTTGTAGCAGTAAGTAATTGTCGTCCATATTTGACATGGAATAGTGGGTGGAGTCAGTGTGGATGTGGGAAGAATGTGGGTTTCAAAGCTTTGATGGTCATACTTACAGTGGCAGACAGAGATGATTTTATAGGATATTGGCAGATTTTTCTCCTGCTTCTAATTGCAAAGATGAGTTACTTTGGGATCCTATTGTGTTTTTTTTCTCAGAAGCAGATCAAGGGAAGGCTATGGAAAAGGAATACGTTCATCATAACCACTATGCAGTAATAATTCGTTATAGAGAGTTAATGGAGACGAAGAACCTTGTTCTGTTGGAAGAGGTTGATAAGAAAGTTTACAAAATCATTTGAAAGTCTCTGGTTCTGGGTAAATATTACACTATTTTTATTTGTGAGGCTTTCGGGTGCCCACTAAGCCATTTGATTTTTGTTGTATAATTTATATTTGAAATGTATATATTATTAATGAAACAGAACTTTCAAATATTATTTAAAAATATTCTTACACTAATTGTCATTAAAATTATATTTTATCTAAATTAATAAATTTGTATGAGTTACTTATTTATATAAATATATGTTTTATTTGTTAAAAAAATAAAAATGTAAAATTTTAACTAAAAAATAAAAGAAGAAAATTGGGAGGGAATCAACTTAATAATGAAAGAAAAACAAAAAGAAAATATTAGTGACCGAAATTTCGGTCACTGGTTTTTTATTAATTAATTTATATAAGAACTGATCTGACCTGATCAGAAGGTGATCACGGGCTGGCCACACGCTGTTGGACTGCTACCTGTTCACCGTTGATGAGGAGGAGAAGGAGGATGTACCTGCAAAACACTCTGATGCCAAAGTAAGGAGTTGGGCAGAGTGAGAGCAAAGCACAGGAAGTGGGTAAGAAGTGAATTACCTGACCCTCTTGAGGGAGAGGGTATTTATAGAGCGACCCCAGCGCTGGGCCAACGGTCACTTGCGTTGGGCTGGATTGTCAGGCCCAACCCAAGTGAGTGCTAGGGCTTACGTGGCGTAGTGAAGACCACAACATGGTCTTCGCCCTAGTCCAACTGTCCCGTGGTCTCCGGAAGGTGGGTTTGACCTGCTCTTTCGGAGATGGGCAGTTGGTTGGTGACGTGTCCCCACGGAGGGGAGCATGTGGAGAACGTGTGAGGGATACGTCGTTCTGCCCGTGGAGGGGGGCTCGCGAGGTTCCCCGGAGGCACGTTGTTCTCCCCGAGGCAGGGAGCACAAGTGGGCGTGGGAGAGCTATGAGGTCTTGCTCGACGGCATGGGGAATACCGCCCGCGGAGGGCGATGTTGGGTCGTGCGGGCGATTCTCTTGCCCGGAGTGGTTGGGACGGTTCTTCCTTGCGGGGAGATCTTTCTAGCGTGTCAGGGATCTTGTGTCCGACGCGGTACCCGGACTGGGTAGGGCCTGGTAGAACATTATTGGGCTGGGCTGGCATAATTCTAGCCCGGGGCTGTTAGATCCCATTTAGATTAGATATTTGGTTTCTTTTTGGTAGTATTTTCACTCAATTTTATCTAATAATGTTTGATTTCATAGTTGAATTGGTTTAGTTTGATTTTATGCGATCCAAGCGAAGAATGTTTGTAATATTGATGTTAGTGTGCAGGATTGACACTATTAAGAGCATTTGGGATCAAGGCAAAGCAGTTGGGAGATGTTGCAAATCAAGACATTCGCCTGGCGAGCCACAACGAGTGCCAGCGAATATTCGCCAGGCGAGTGCAGGCGAACTGGGGCGAATAAATCAGATTTAACTCCCAGACCCAAAGGATAGGAAGTTCGCCAGGCGAAGGTTCCAGCGAAGCTTCGCTACCATTCACCTGGCGAAGGTGCTGGCGAAGAAGTGGTAGCTTTCCTCATGCAGATTCCAGTAGCAAAACCACCCAAAGTTCGCCTGGCGAGTGAAGCCAGCGAATGTTCGCCCGGCGAGTATTTATTCGCCTGGCGAATGCACGATTCCTAAGGGCGGTTTGCTGATCAAAGGCACTTTGAAGTGCCATGTTAAGTTGGTTCGCCGGGCGAATGAATGCCTTCGCCAGGCGAATGTGCGCAGACAACACATCATTTTTACTTTATTTGTTGCTCTATTTAGCCCATACTTGGTACTTAAAAGAAGAAAATCTTGCAAAATCAGAAAGAAGACATTATTGGATAGCTCTAGAACCCTAAATACTTGAGTTCTTCTTCATCTTTACTATTTTGGTAATCAAGAGAAGTGGAAGCACATCCTTCATTGTTTCTTCAAAGTGGATGTTCTTCATCTTCTCCTTTCTTCTTGATTAAAGCTACCATGAAAATGTGTAGCTAAACTCATCTTTTGTCAAGGTTAGATGTAGGTGATTATTAAACTTTGTATGTGTATGGATGATCATCATTTGTAAACTCTTGAATGATTAATATATGGTGAAAACTTTGTTTCATTTACAATCTTTTGTGTTGGTTGATGATTGAGAAATATTTTCCAACTCTAGACCTAGGTTTTCATCCTTCTCTTTTCTTGAGCTAGAGATAGTCTTGAAATGTTTTGTTCACTTATAATGTTGAACTTTAAAGTTGTCATTTGATAGATTGTGTGAGAGATCAACAATGGATCAAAATGGTAAATCTCACAATATGAGTTAGAGATAATCATATTGAGAGGATGTTGTGGATGTATTGATCATTAAAAGGAGTTTGTTAAATGTTGATTGGAAATATGCATGCAAAGTGATTACCGAACCCTAACTTTGGCAATATTTATTAAAACCGTTCAAATCATTATTTTACCGCATTTATTACTCACATGCAAAAGTTACCATTGTTTTAAAACCAAACACTTTGTTACTACAAAGTTACGAATTTAACAACTGTAGAAAGGCTGCAAAATTTCATATTCCCTGTGGAGACGATAACAAAAACCCGACACTCAACCACTGTTTTAACAAAAATGGCGCCGTTGCCGGGGAATATAAATTGATATTGCAAGCATCGCAATAGTTGTTGAATTTT